AGTGAAATAGATTAATACTGCATGATATGAGAAATACGACATCTCAGTAGAAAGACCTCAAGTAAATACTGGTCACCAATTATTCTGTCACTTAGTACTGTTTATGGCCAATCCAGCCCAGGGGTGTTCCAACTCGTATATATATACACATCGACTGACAGTTAGTCACTCAGTACCATATAAGGCCAATCCAGCCCTGGGGTAATTTATCTCCAAATGTAAATAATACGGACAAGATCCATGTCCAGGTAAATTCATTACAATATAAATAAGTAAGGTAAGTTCATGCCCTGAAAAATCCATCCTGAATATATATAATCATCTACGCTCATTGAGGGTGTGTACAGACTCCAGAGAGGCTCTTTCAGCCCAATTGTGATATAAAGCCAATATGGCTACTGCAGGCGAGTCCCGATCCGTATAATAATAAAGCGTATAAGGCCTGCTGCAGGCGGACAGCCCCGATCCATAAAATAGTAAAGCCTATAAGGCTTGCTGCAGGGGGGCAGCCCCGATCCATAAAATAGTAAAGCCTATAAGGCTTGCTGCAGGGGGGCAGCCCCGATCCATAAAATAGTAAAGCTTATGATGCATGCTGCAGGCGGGCATCCCCGATCCATAAAATAGTAAAGCTTATAATGCATGCTACAGGGGGGCAGCCCCGATCCATAAAATAGTAAAGCTTATAATGCATGCTACAGGGGGGCAGCCCCGATCCATATAATAATAATGTATAAAGTCATTATGGCCTGCTGCACCACGCAACTCAATCCCATAAATATCCTCACAATGGACAAATATTACTGAGTGTGAAACGTATATTTTTGAACAATTAATTCAACATCAACACGACCCCATGGGTCCCAAAATATTGGCACGTAGCTTAAACATGATCTTTAATAGGAGCCTCAGCTCAATTTCTCTAACACGTGGAGAATGTTCAGATAATAACATGATTCATTAATTTTATAATTGCACAGGATTTATTCAATACATAATTTATATGGTGCACGTCCACATGCTCGTCACCTATCGTGTGTGTCACCTCCAAACAATTTATATCATACCAAATTCGGGGATTCATACCCTCATAACCAAGTTTAGAAGTGTTACTTACCTCAAACCGTATAATTCTTTACTCCGCTATGCCTCAGCCTTGTGAATTGGCCTCCAGATGCCTCGAATCTAGCCACAATTAATTCGATTCAATCAATAAAATTTATTGAAATTAATTTGATAAGAAAATAATGATTTTCCAACAAAATCTGAAATTTAGCTCAAAATTTGCCTGTGGGGCCCAAGTTTTGGAATCCGGCAAAAGTCATAAAATCCGATAACCCATCCAATTACAAGTTCAACCATACTAATTTCACTCAAATCCGACTTCGAATCGGTGTTCAAATCTCGAAAATGTATTTTATGAAATTGTGGACATTTCTCCGATTTCTCTTAAAAAATCAATAATCTAACGCCAAAAATGAAGATAAATTCTTGGAATGTAATCACAAGGTAGTCAAGAACACTTACCCCAAGTTGTGTGGAAAATTGCCTCTCCAAAGTCGCCCAATCCGAGCTCCAAAATCCAAAACTGAAGAAAGAAACCAAAACCCACGATTTTATCTTCTGTCCAGTCATTTACTCTTCGCGATCGCGGAAAATGCTTCGCGATCACGAAGCACAAAAATTTTCAGCCCAAAATTTGCCTTTCGCGATCGCGGAAAATGCTCCGTGATCGCGAAGAACAAGTGCACAGCTCTTCCAGACAGCCTCTAGTATAATGGTCATATCTTTTTGTACGAAACTCCAAATTATAAATGGTTTAACTTTCTATAAACTAGACGCCAAGAGCTATAACTTTTATTTGTTGCTCACCTCCCAATTGTTTATAGATTGAGAGTCATAAGCTCCCAAAATTAGCCATGTGCAACAAAGATTTTCAAACTCTTCCCAGACAGCCTATAGTGTATCCACCATAACATTTTTTACACAATTCCAAATGATAAACGGTTTACTTTTCTGAAAATTAGATACAAAGGGCTACAACTTTTATTTTTGGATCATCTCCAAATTTCGTATAGATTGCGAGATATAAGCTTCCAAAATCGGGTCAGTGCAGCAGGATTTTCCTCTACGCGATTGCGAAAAGTCTTCCGCGATTGCGATTCACAGTGTCCAAACAGTAAAATTGCTGTTCGCGATCGTGATAATTTGTCCGCGATCGCGATGCATACCTCTGTGGCCAATAACCAGCAACTAAAAATGGCCTAGAAATAGTCTGAAACCACCCCGAAACTCACTCGAACCCCTCGGGACCTCAACCAAATATACCAACAAGTCCTAAATCATCATACGAACTTAGTCGAAGCCTCAAATCACATCAAAAAATGCTAAAACCACGTTTCCACAAACGACGCCAGAACCTATCAAATCAAGTCCGATTGACCTCAAATTTTGCACACAAGTCATAAATGACATAACATACCTATTAAAAATTTTAGAATCGGATTTCGACCCCGATATCAAAAATTCAACCTCCCGGTCAAACTTTCCAAAAATTTAACTTTCGCCATTTCAAGCCTAATTCCTCTACCGACCTCCAAATAATTTTTCGGACACGCTCCTAAGTCCAAAATTACCATACAGAGCTATTGGAATCATCAAAATTCAAATCCGAGGTCGTTTACATATAAGTTCACATCCGGTCAACTTTTCTAACTTAAAATTTTCAATTATGAGACTAAGTGTCTCATTTCACTCTGAATTCCCTCCAGATCCAAACCAACTAACCCGGTAAGTCTTAAAACGACTGTAAAGCATAAATTAAACAGTAAATGGTGGAACGGGACTGTAATACTCAAAACAACCGCCGGATCGTTACACGAGGATAATAGCAACGTTCATGTAGAGGAGATTCACAATCAATGGAATCTTGATTATCCAGTGGCTTTTAAAATCTGTCTTAGGCAAATATTAAAGAGATTAGAAAGATATATTCTTACTGTGTTAGTTTGTAACTTGTTGTTGGTATCAATTATGAGCATCTAATTTTCTGGAGTTCCCAAGATAAGAGTTATAAAGAGTAATATATATTAAACAACTTTCCACTAAAATTAAATTAATGAATGTTTTACTTAATCTGGTTGACTTTATTATCATCTTATGCAGAAAATATTTTGTAAAATATCTATTGTTTATTAACAAGTATTCTATATATAAGGATGTCCCATTCAGATTTGTAATTACCTTTCAGAGAAAATCTTCCTAAATAGACTAAACAAATGACCAATTTTTTTGTGGTAATAAGATTAATTATGACCAAAAAAAAAATTCTTTCCTCTAATTGTTTTGCTTTCCATAACATAACAAGTCTCAGCATATTTATCCTATATATACCATCAAAAACACTTGGGAGGAAACAAAGGAATTTCATAATTCAAAATCATCCTAATTATTTTCTTAACATGATTCACTCCTCAGTGAAGATCATCTTCTTGTTATTTATCATCATGCCCTATCACATTCAAGGAGGTTGCGGGTTGTTTAAATATGAACGTCAGGTGCACATTCTTAATAATCTTCCTGACAATTCTCCTGAACTACAACTTCACTGTGCATCTAGAAATGACGACTTTGGGCATGCTTACCCTGCCTTGAGAACAGACTACAAATGGGAATTTTGTGCATGGTCTCGTACTTTATACTTTTGTCACTTTTGGTGGGGTTTTAAAGAAACTGTATTCGATGTATTTAACGATTTGAAACACTGCATTCATGATGGAAGTAATTTTATTCCAAAAGGTACTAAAAGATGCATATATAATGTGAAAGATGATGGTATCTATTTGGGTTATGAAGATAATAGTGGTCAAACTATTTACGAAAAATACCGTGATTGGTCATGAGGAGCAGCTCTTTTGTTTGTAAAAGTGTATTAGAAGAAAAAATGGACTACCAACACTAATGATTTGTTTTAGTAAACTTACATTCTTATATATAAAATTTATATTCTGATCATGGTTGTATTTTATGCTATACTTAGATGTTTTAAATAATGCAAGCATTTGTGGTATTTCCCCTCTAATTTGCTTGAAGTTAAATGCGTGCAATCCCCTTTTTTCATCTACATAAAAAATCAAAAAAATTCATCGGAAAATTGAAGGACCCCTATGCAACTGAGAAAAAATTTATTCACCCCCCATACTTACTGGATTTTTTAATTTAGAGGTAGTTTATTAAAAAGGATAAATGATTTAATTTTACTCTTGAACTTTTAAAAATATGATAACTTTATCTTTCATTTTTTTTTGGGCCCAAAAATACCTTCGTCATTAGTCAAAGTAGCTCAAGGCTCACCTATACCGATTTAATTAATGAAATGTTTTACTTAAATTGGTTGGTTTTATTATCAACTTATGGAGAACACATTTGGTAACATGTCTATTCTTCATTAAAAAGGTATTTTATAAGAATGATATCGCAGTCAGATTTGCAATTATCTTTCCTGAAATTCTTCCTAATTAATAAATAAATTTAAAAGAAGACCAAATATTTTGTGGTACTAAGATTATGAAAATTTAGTTCCTCTTGTTGTTTTGCTTCCCATCACATAAGAGTAGAGGGGAAAAAATTTAAAATGATAAAATATTTCCTTTTATTATTGTCCTTTTTTATAAAAAAACATTTTGGATCATTTCTTGATTTGTGTGTCATTCTTGCGCAAGGGTCATACTAATCTTCTCTGTATTGTTTCAATATTATTGGATATCCCCGAAGAGACTTATATTTTTGTCTTTAATAAACCAAATGTTACTCTCGTAAACATCAATTGCATAGGAAGTTCATGAACATAATGGGCAAATATTAAATATAAAACATAACTTAATATCCAATATTATATTCTACGCCAAGAATTTAAAATATACTGAAAAATTGCTGATAGTAAAATAACATTAGGTTTCATATTCATGTTCTTGGATACTAAAGTACATGTAATTAATGGAGTAAAAGGACATACAAAAGAAAGGAAAGAAAAACAAGAAAGAAAAACACTTTTAAGTACTGTGACTAATGTCTAATTTAACAATATAAAAGGTTGTCCGTTAATCCAATTATCAGTATCAATAAAAGACAAATCTGTTAATGATTCCACCATATTTTTGCTTAATTTCTTTTCCCATCTAACTCTCTTTGAAGTGTCTGCTCCATCTCCATCGCAGTCTTCTTCTGAGAAGGTCAATTGGTCCCTAAACAAACAAAAACTATTAGTTAAATAAAAGTGTTGCCAAATTTTCTTTTAAGATATTGTCTTTTATTAATAATAGTAAATTTGGCAGACAGTATTTGTTTCAAACTATTCAAAAGATTAAAAGCCATCTCTTTGTACTTTTAATGCCGAAGATCTTTCGGAAACAGTCTCTACTTTTCCAGGGTAGGGATCCTCTCCAGACCCCACGTATGGAATTTCACTGTTGTTGTTGTTGTTCTTGTTGTTCTTGTTGTTGTTTGTAATTTTTATACTTAAGAAGAATTCACCCAAATAATCGTCCACCCAATGTATAAACTAAAAATAGCCAGCGAAGGTATAATATATGTATAACGTATATACTATACGTGTATAATTATATGTAATCAATATATAATTTATGTATATTGGTAGAAAAAGTAAATAATGAATATGGCCGCCTATTTATGTAAAGAACCCTCATCTTAATCTAGTCTTACCGTTCCAATTAGTTGAGCGCTAATTAAGTGAAAGGTTTAACGGTAAGATAAAGGGCAGTAGTTTAAACAAATATAAAATCATTATTATCAAGACCAGTGGCGGAGCCACATTGAACCAAGTGACACCCCTTTGTCGGAAAATTACACTATATCGCTAGATAGATTTTTTTATTTTATGTAGATTTACTGTACGTGGACTCCCGTTAACTTTTCGATATATCTAATTATCTCCTTGGTGAAAATTCTGGATCCGCCATTGATTAAGACTACTAATATATAACTTCTTTAAGGGACCACTACTAAAAATAAATGTAGCTAAACAGATAAATTTGTCACTAGTCTTATTTAGCAGTGGATTAGCGACAGATTATAAAAAAAAAATTATTAGCTACGAGTAATTTAGTAACAGATTAGCGATGAAGTTCATATCTAATTCCAGTTTTTTCGTAGCGGACGTACAAAAACATTAAAAGACACGTAATATATATAAGAAGATTGTAAAAATAAGACTTACTCGTGGCCTTTGAAATTCCAAGCATCCCAACCTTGAGGAACAATAATATTGGAGAGGTCAGTCTTATAAAAAAGGACCCTAGCATAACCTCTCCATGCCCTTCCTAAAAATGCTTTGCCTGTCCCAATTACTTTGCAATTCTTAAACACAAATCCATTTGCATCATTTGGATCTAATCTTCCTTGTGCTGTTATGTATCCTGCATAATCTTCTGTTATTGATCCAGCATTCACCAATATTGTACAATCCTATTACAAAAATAGTCAGATACACATCATCAGTGGCGGAAGCAGAATTTTAAGTAAGGAAATTTAAAACGATAAAAAAAAGTAAACAAGCGAAGAAGCTAAAAGGATTCAACATCTAAGTATATCTACACACAAAAAAATTGACTTTTATATAGACAATGTAATTTTCGGTGAAGGAGATTCGACTAAACCCCTTCCGCCCACCTAGCTCCGCCCTTGCATGTCATTTAAATTACCAAAGACATACGATGGGAAAATCTCATGTACGATTATGTAAAGGTGACTTATCTGTCAACTTCTCTACTATCATAGACCATAATCCACAAAAGTATTGTGTAGTCGCGGTAACTGGGGAAAGGTTTAACAATTTACCTTGGTGTGAGATATACACATAATTTCAGGGACCCTAACAAATTTAAATTTAATTAACTACCTAAAGAATCGTCTTTGATATATTGAGACTTGTCTCAGCTCTCATATTCAACAATTGAGCTAGTTAATTTAAATCTAATTAACTAGCTAAAAAATCAAGCGTATACTAAGACAAGATCTAATGTGAAACTCTGTATTACCCTCCTTACTGAAAAGTTAAAGGTATTCAAGGCCTATTTATGGATTTTAGTTCATTAATTATCCAAATAAAGGTAAAGACTAACCTGAAAATTTTGTTTTTGCTTCCATCTTTGTTTGTATGTATGAGAAATTTGACTTTAAAATTGTCTCCACTCCATTAATAAAATGGACAAAAATGTTAACAAGCGTGTGTTCATACGTATCTAAAGAAAAATTCTAAATTAATTACTCCCTCCCATAATAAGTGATCATTTTACCTTTTTATTTTAGTCCAAAATAAGTGTCCATTTACATAATCAGAGAAGAATTAATTTTATTTTTTCAAAATTTGTCCTTATTTACATATTCTAATGTGTCAATGTAACAATTAATTAAGGTTAATTTAGTGAATACATTCTTCTTTTTTCTAGGAGTTCGTATTTTTTTAATGAGTATTCCAAAGATAAAAAGGTCACTTATTATGGACCGAAGAGAGTTGGAATTAGCGAACACATCAATATATTTCTAACAAACTTGCTTCTTATTAGCTTTCTCATGAATACACTTAGTTTAATACTTCCTCCGATCCCAAATATTAGTCGTTTTAATAATTAAAATTTATTTTAAAATATTTGACGTTTAAATAAATTACAAAAGTCATACCTCGTAAATGGATTGACCAGTACCAAAAATGAAATCCATGGCACCTTCAATGGTACAAAGCTTAAAATAATGTCTGCCATTATCATCCAACAATGTATCTTGTAAACCAGAGAAAGCACAACCATAAAATGCAGATTTATCCCCAGAAATCATCGCTGCTAATGCCGGTTTCATCTGATTTCCATTATTCTCTGGTGGGTAATTGTAAGAATTCTACTCCAAACAAAAATAAACATCAAAATTATATAAACTAGAAAAGAAATCTTAAAAGGGTCATAGGATTTTAATTCTTACGGTAAAATTAAGATTCTCCACTATGATATTGTCAGCAAAAGAGGAAAATGTTGGGCTTGTAACAAGTGAATCATGAGCACCCCATATAACAACAGTTGTTTTCACGTCTGCACCTTTTAAATAAATAAATGGTTTATCAACTGGGATTGTCACCTGTTCCCTTCATATAGTAAATGCAGAAATTAGTCTCTAACACGAATTTATAAATAAAAAAAATAGTAATAACTTTTACACGAATTTCGTCGTCAAAAAAAATATCTACATACAAAGTGAGAACTCCAAGAAAATAAGTAAACATATATCTTTTTATTTTTGTGGTAAATACACATATATTCATATACATGTATGATTTATGTAGAACAATAAAGCACTCAAAACAAAAGATCAGAAGAACAACTACAACAACAATAATAACACTTCATATTATATGTGCAAAATCTTGATAGATTTCATTGTGCACGTATAAGTGCATAGGCGAATCTGGGATTTAAATTTAATGGGCTTATCTTTTAAGATTTTTAGTATTGAATTCAGTGCTTTTAAAATTATAGGTTCAAATCTAATACTTGTCGAGATTTTAGTTGATTTTTACATATAAAACATACTTTGTATCGAAAGTTTGGGTTCAGTTGAACATGTAGCCGAAAGGCTATATTCGTCCTCGTATAAGAGCAGAATCTACTGACTCTAAATCTTGGATTCACTAACAGATTATGCAAATATACATATATAAAAATGAAGAGAAGAGTGTGAAGAAGTGTACTTGTACAAGCCAGAATTGATGAAGATGCAAATCCAATAAGAATTGTTGGAAGGAATAGAATCAATTGCAGATTGAATTGTTTCAAAATGGGCAAAACCAGATTGATCTACATAAATTGTTGGAATAAATCCAAAAAAATTCGTTCCAATTGATGGCCATTGCAATACTCTTCCATTTGTTAATCCATTGAACAAAAACAAAAGTGCTATACCTGCAAAGAAATATACGGCCATTTTTTGAAGTTTATTTGTAAGAAGAATAAAGAAAGAACGTTGAATATATATATGGTTTGATGAATTGAAGTTGAAGAGAAAAGGTTATGAGATTTTAGACAATGGAAAGTCAAAAGAGAAAGTGGGGTAAAAGAAAAGACACCTTGAAATGAACTGAAGTTCATGAGAAAAGGTTTTGTGTTTTTTTAAGAGAATGAAAAGTCAAGAATTAAAGAGGTGGGGTAAAAGAAAAGTCGTTGCTACTTACTCTAATTAGGTAGTGGATAGTGGAGTAATAATTATTACTAACTTAATTAACTCTCAATCTCTCCCATCTAATTAGTTTTATTTTTGTTAAATAATTTACAACAACAACAAACTCAGTATAATTCCCTCGTGGTTAGGGAAGGGTATTAAGTACCCAAATCTTATCCTTACAATGGATATGTAAAGAGTTTGTTTTTAATAGACTCATAGCACGAGAAAAGATAATAATAAAAAATAATAGCAACAAGCGAGAACAAGATAAAAGAAAACGAGAAGAAAAATATATTTTATTAAATAATAGAGAAAAAGTATTTCTCTAAAGTCACTCCCCCCCCCCCCCCCCCCAAAAAAAAAGAATCTATTATAAGTTTTTTGTGGTAAATAGTAGAAGATAATAAAACAAGTAAAAATATATTCTCACATTAAATTTATTGTCTCAGAGAAATCTTCATCCTATATATGGTACAATACGAATGCGTACGAAAGTTAATATTCTTTACTACCCATATTCCTCTTTAGATTGAAAGTTCGTTTGATATCACTGCATTTTCCAAACAATATTTCCCAAAAATTTTTATATAGGCTCAAAGGTTTTCGATCAAGATTTTAATATGTCGCCCTCACAGTTGGAAATTTGTTCATTTTTTTTAAATACAGAAATCAGAATTAGCCAAAAGTCATTCTCTTCCGACGAGAACATAAAAGGGCAAAACATATAAATAATCGGTCGGCCGAAGCTAATTGTATTTGCTAGCAGAAAAATATATAAATTATGTATATATTTTTTGTATATAATACACATATTATTGAGTTTTTCTTTGAGAGTGGCTAAAAATATACCTTTCTCAGCATAAAATAAAGAGTTTTAGCTTAGAATTGTCCGTCCCTCCAGCCATTAATGTTCTCTTTTTATTTTAGAAATAAATTATATGGTCAAAAAGGGAAAAAAATCTTACCAGATGGCTTGGGAAAAGCAAAGGGCAGGACGGCAGGTAATTGTTGGTTGGTTTCACTATTGAATAGTAGTAAATGTTAATAAATGCATTTAATAATAATTTTAAGCAAAAAGAAGGGCGAGGTTAGTACATTGATTATTAACCAATAACCACTATTTTCTAGCTTAAATGAGGGTGACGGCTGGTGAACTTTACGGCAAGTTATATTTTTGGCAAATAATTTGCCTAAATATGGCTACTAATTGGCACTCCCTCCTTCTTGTCATGATTCTTTTGTACACGCCCCTTAAGAAAAATTAGTTAGAATACAATTTTGACTACTTTACCTTTATTCATGTCTTAATATTTAATCTTTTTTCATTAATTTTTTTCTCAATTTATGTGTCATCTCCATTATTATTGATTGCATTTGTGTAAAACTTAATAAAGCGTTTAAGAAAACTATTTTGTCTTGAACTTCTAAAATGACAAATAATTTGAGACAACTATTTTTAGTAATCACGATTGATAATATGAGACAGAGAGAGTACAAACATAAAAAAAATGCAAAAGCTTCCTTTGAGAGCTTAATGATTGCAACATTAAGCTTTGGACATATATTTGATTAAAACTTGAAAAAATAATTTTTGAAATTGTTAAAAAATAATTTTTGAAAGTTAAAGTTATAATTGGACATTCATTTTATTTGAGGAAAAGTTAAGTTTTGTGAGTGAAAATTAAAATTTTATTTTCTAAAACATGATCATATTTCATAAACAAACAATGTTTTAAATCTTCTTTTTAAAAAATGAAGCCAAAATCTATGGTCAAACGGGAGCTAAGTATTAACTAAAATTTCAGCTTCTCTTAAAGTTTTTGTCAAAATAATTTTCAGAATGTTGTAACAATTAGTCCAAAAATATATGCGAAGATATGAAAAAAATAATAATAAATTTACGCAATTTGTTTTAGAATTTTCATAATTGCAATTTTACTGGGAACAGTTTAACAGTAAACATCAATTCAATTCTCAAATATACATCTCTAAAGAAAAGGTAAGAGTCCATAAAGCAAAATGACAATTGAAAATAATAAATAAAATAAATAAATAGAAAGAAACCAAACTCTAAACTGTCATATGATACTTCTCAAATAATTTCACCGTTGAAAAAATCGTAACTCTGAAGTTTAGTTGTAGGAGTTCACACTTCTACCTGTTTGTTTTTCTTTTTCCTTTTTTTTTTGTTTCACATAGTAGCTATTTTCATATTTCTCAAATGTGTTTCAGCAGTATTGATGATGAACTATTTATTGAAAACAAACTAAGAGTACTTTCTTGTAAATATTAATAATACTGTAACAGTTCACTCACAAACTACGTATAAGACAAAATAGATAAAATATATTCTGAGATTAATTTTATTAAACTTGTCAGGGTGAAAGATACCAATGCATTCTCAGTATTAGTTATCTTTATTTAACTATCATTTCACTAATTATATCGATTCAAATGTGTTCGCGTTCTTTCAGAAAGACTTGCCGTATCTTAAGTAGCAAAATATATGATAATAAACGTAACACACAAGTCTGCTCAATGAAAAATATTGTTAAAACTGAAAACAGTATCCTAAGAAGGAACAAATTAAGCCAAAACATCAATCTCCAGCAAAATTGTACTTCAAACAACTATATTTAGACTTCAGTACTTGATTGGAGCAATAATGGCGAGTTGAGGACCGAGTTTCTCCTCAGCAGCTTTCTCGGCCTTAACCCTTAGTTTTGCTAACTGCTTTCTCCTCTCATATGCTACTTGAGCTCTTTCCTTCCTCTTGTTCTCAAGTTCCTACAGTAAACAAGGAAAAGGTATAATGATCAATGTGAATAATATGGTAATCGCACCAGAAAGAGAGTTCGATATCAAAACAGAGAACTTAGACTTCAATTCTATTTACAAACTACCAGATATGAAAGATTTTCAACCAAAAAAAAAGTGAAGAAAGAGGAGCCGGGGCTCATAGTTACATGAAACAAGCGCTAAGCAGAAATAAAAGAAACGCTAGCTGCTGCTTGGAGCTGAGAATTACATTTCATATTGGTCTAAAGAACATAAAAATGAAGTCAAGAACATTATTTAACAAGAAACAGCAAGCAACTGCTAATGTTGCTCCATTGATTCCAAATGTAAAGTAACACCACAGCAACAGAGAAATCAAATTATGGTCAATGACAAGAAATATACCTTGATAGTGTCGTAATGGTTCCATCCAACCTCGGACGAAAGCTTTCCCAAGAGGCAGTATTTATGTCCAGCCTGGAGCCTCAATACCCTAGTCAAGAAGAAGAGTAAAAGCTTCAGTTAAAAAAATTAAAAAGAATACAATAACTAGAACAAAATAAATTATGTGTGTTGTCCTGCCACTCACTTGAGAGCATCAGGAATGACCATCCTCTTGATCTTGTCATACGGAGGTGGAACACCCTCGTAAACCTTCAAACGGGCAAGTGCAGCGGCTCCACGCTTAGTTTTGTGGGGAATCATCCTAATGTAAAATAAACAAGACATTAACATTGACAACTGTAAAAGTAGCAGGAGTTAGCAATACTTGCCTAAACAACTAGCAGTTCTAAAGGCACTAATAGCAGCTGTGCTATTCATCAAACAAAAGGAGATAGAAAGAAAGGTATTTTCGATTGAGTGAGTGGGTTGCATATGCAGAACATCAATTAATCAACTATAACTTAATCACAAACCTATAGGGGTCATCATTCTGAATCCTCTGTATCAAATCCCTATTATAGTCAATTTCTTCTGAATACAAAATAATCTATCCTCTCAAGGGAAAAAATGTGTTCTTTAAAACTAAGTTTATCTAAACACAAGTCATTAACCAAACTAAAAATACTCCTAATAAACACTATGCTTTAGACAAGGATGCTGATAAAATCCTTGAAGATGGAAGATCATTTATTAGAGTACCAGTTTTAACATCTTTCTTTCCAATTATTGCAACACTAACTAAAATCAAAGAGCATTAAGGCAGACATTTTGCATACAGGATAAATATCCACTAAATTTTCACTACAATGTATGAGCTGGTCTACATCTGTCCATGGAACATATACAACTTCAAAACTAGATCACACATACTTAATTTTCATTTAAACACCACATGATCAAATACTAACACAACAACATCAACTATGCCCAAGTCCCAAACAAGTTGGGGTCGACAATATGAGTCCTAATTTCTTTAAGTTCAGCTCATTTCATTATGAGAATTCATCACGTATCAGCAACTTTTACGTTCGCTGTCAAGCCTACCGCAATAAGAGCAATCAAATACTAACCCATTCATAAAAAATATATCTAAAACCAAAATTAAACACTTCAGTATTTCACCTACGCCTTCATCATAAAATGAAATCTCTCATTACAATAGCATAATTATCTCTACAGCGAGAGCCATATATACATAATATATATACATAAGATACATTATACCCACTAACTAAAAATAGGAGATCTACCTCTTAAATCCAGCTCCAAACAAATTACCAATACAATTTTAATACAAAAATAATTAAAAAGGACAACATTTGCAATAAATAAAAACATACCCACGAATAGTACGCCAGAGGATTTTAGAAGGAGCACGAAAGTGAATAGGACCATGAGAAGGTTTAGTGTTCATCCTCTTACGTAAGAACCTAAGGTACTTCATTTTCTGCCTAACGAGTCCACCGCTTAAGCAAATTTCTTCACACCTAACAACTACTACTTTTTGTCCATTGAGCAATTCTTTGGCTAAAATTGAGGATAGCCTTCCGAGCATGTGGTGGCGCGCGTCCACCACTATCCTCCTCGCTGAAATCCCAGATCCTGACACCATTTTTTTTCCCTCTCTCTCTCTCTCACACACACACACTTTCTCTCTCTAGAGCTCTTAACGTCTGCTACACAGTGCTGCTGCTAGGGTTTGAAGAGAGTGTCATTTAGTTTTATTTATATGATGGTAAAAGCGGACGTAAATGGGCTTTGGGTGAGTGTGGGCTTTCTGACCTTGGCCCAGTAGATGTCCTATTTTGGACTTAAACGGTAGGGATAAGAATTCAAATAATAGCCACGTTTTTTATTACCACCGTTATTTCTTTTGATTTGGTTATCTTACTATTTTTGCTACCAATACTTTTCTCTTCTTGTATATTTTCATCATAGTATTTTACTCTTGTATTTCTTAAACCTATTTTAAAAATATTTTATTTGAGCCGAGAATCTATCAGAAACAACATTTCTAATTCACACAAGGTAAGGGTAAGGTATGCGTACACTTTACCCTCTCCAGACCACACTTGTGGAATTACACTGAATTTTATTATTATTGTTGTAGCTACTTTTTTAACTCTTATAATTGAAAAATAGCCACTGTTATGGAGTTTCAAATTCTAGAAATAACATTTCAGGACATTATCATGGGATTTCACCGGTAAAATTTGAAATTCCATAACAGTGAATATTTTTTAATTATAGAAGTTAAAAAGTAGCTAGCCCACGCTATTACTACTTCTTTTTAGTGTCTAGGAGCAGGTTTATGGTTTAAAAAATATGTATTGTGGGGCCTAATTCTTGCCAAAAGATTTATCTGCATGCAATACATCAAGTTAAAGAATGCAAAATATATATACTTTTCATACATTCATTCACTTTAAATTATAAGCACTAAAATGAATTTGTTTATTTTGATGTAAACACTAAATCGAAGTAAATATTTACCATTAACTCTTACCTATTGATTGAAACTTGAAAGGTCATGGATATAAAGTGGAGCGATCAATCTGCGAATTAAGTCTTTGGAGTAGTATGATCAAATCATATGATTTTCTGAATAATCGAACATTGATTCATTAAATATTTTTTATCAAAACGAATTTTACATATTTAGAAATGTCAAAAGTATTGTAGGACATTTTTCAAATAATATATTAAGTACTTGTGAAGTTCCTAACTGAGAAAGGTTCTTTAATTCTCGAAATCGTGGTGTTTGTTGATATATGGGTATGTGAAGAAGTACACAAACAGCCATTCTTAGGGCTATTTACGGATTAGCCATTATTTATTTTGTCCTGAAAATTTGCACTAAAAACCTTAATTTCAAGATAATTTAGGACACTTGTATCCTGAAAATTGAACTAGAAAATTGAAATTCATGACACAGTAGTTAATTCTTAAATAGCAGCCCTTTAAAGTGACTAAATAGTGTCATTTCTAAACAAATATTGCCATCTCGTCTGCATGATTAACAGGAGGCCCAAATATTAATGGGCTGTTTTGTTCATTGGCAAATGAAAAAATGACATTGTATAGCCGCTGTAAAAATAATAGCCGAAAAAATTGTATACAATTTGTATATTTATTGTATATATATACATTTTATATGTTATATACAAAAATTATACAAATGTTATACATTTTTTTGGCTACCATATGTAAATAGTTTCTGGCGCATACTAAAAGTGATAATACCCCTCGCAAATTGCAACCCATGTGGTCAAACTAACCCAGTTGTGGTTAGCTGAATCTAGTTTTGTAGGCCCCAAACCCAAGTCTTTCTCCATGTAGCAAATGTTTGAAAAGACATACTTAGCCCATCTCCAACCCTTGCCTCCATTTTCTCCTCCAAAATGGAGTAAAGTTACTCTAACCATTACTATCTTTTTTATTCCAAAAAAAATATTCCATTTTATATTCTTCTCTCTCTTCAATATTATATTATTATTTTTTATTCAAATTTTATTTTCTTATTTCTATTAAAGAAATTCTATCTTTTTTATTTTTAACATATTAATCCCATATAATTTAATATAAAATTATTTTATACTATAAATTTTTAAATAATATAATTTGTAAGCAAATATTATAGATTATATATATATTAATGGATAATTCAAATAAAAGTGAAATCATTGAGATATAAGATAATTAAATACATATTACATTATGGTAAACTTCGGATTAAATATTACATAAATATTCAACTTTCACCTCTAGTATGCTCCCATAAGTGATCTATTAATGCATTACGAAGTGCAAAATGAGCATCTTTATCCTTAATATTTTTGTGTCGAGCTAAAAATTGCTCAAATCGGTGATTTTCATCTACTACCATTTCTACCGTTGGAGGTGGACATTCCCAATCATCTTGAATTGGTGCATTAAGATCACGCTCATCCTCGATTATCATGTTGTGCAGTATATAATACATGCAGTTATTTTATATTCGCACCTTTTAATTTTAGCAACATCTAATATTTTATATTTGCACCGTTTATTTTTTGAGATTATTATATATTTTTTGTACAATTATAACTTATAATAAAATTAACTTACAGTTTTATATAAAAATAATAAATGCACGAAAATTAATTTATCAAAATTATACGCCAAAATTAAGATGTAAAAATTAATATTATAAAGATATTACATAAACATAATTAGTATATATAAAGAGATAAATTAAAAGAGTTAAATAATAAAAATAATAATAACATAAGGATGAATAGTAATGGAGGAGATGAATAGTGTCACTCTAAATTTGGAGTAACACTATTCATCCCCATTTTTGGGGCATAAATGAGGGAGCATTGGAGCCACATTGTGGCAAAAAATGGCTGCATTATGGAGAAATGGGGGAGGGTTGGTTCCAGAGCAGAGGAACCATGAAACTAATTATAAATGCAATTTCCACAAATCTTTAATTTATTGTGTACTCATAACAAATAATACATCAAGCTCGACAACTGCTTTACTGGAAATAAAAAGTGAATATTTAAACAATTTCTCAATTTCTCTATTATTATTAACCAATTAATTCGTGCCGGATAAATCTATTAAGGAGGTAAAGCACTCCTTTTTGAAAGGTTCTCTATTTTTTGTTTTGTTAGCGTCGGGAAAAGGGGCTCACCTCAAAAGTTGTGATGTAGAAAGTATACCCTAATACAAGCATTAATGGATGCTTTTACGACTCGAACCCATAACTTATAGGTCACACGGGAACAACTTCCTCTTTCTCATTTCGTTTGACGAGAGACATAACCACATTGTTAATATTGCCTTTCCCATTCTTCATGTACTCTATTGCTTTCTTGCCATATCTTTTAAACAAATCATCCATAATTTCTTCTCCAAAATGTTCTACTAATATGGATTCTTGAACTGCTCTCATATTTCCAGCTATATATTTGGCCTTACTCTTCTCATCAAATAATATTGCTTCTTTCTCACTATCACTAGCCATGTTTGTCTCACTATCACTAGCCATGTTTGAATCCCACTTGAGTTTAAATGTCTCAAGGTGCAATAGTTTGAAAGAGCCTTCCTTCTCAATAATTTGTTTTAGTTCTTTTGTAGAAGGTGCATATAGTGGAAGATTGAACTTGTCTAACTTGGCTTCTTCAACCAACCCCTGTGTCAATAAAAAAAAAATCATGAACGTCCGAGATGATCCGATGTCAAGAAGTTGAGAACAGTCTTTCAGCCGGTCCGTAATTTATTAAATAAGTCACATTTTTATGTTAAACTAAATCATCACTAACTTTATTTTCTAGAGTGAGTGCGAAAGAAAAAAAAATTGAGTGTAAAGAATTGTCAGACGGAAGCTGGTCTTTAGTTTGCGATAATAAAATTCAAGTTGTGAGCAACCAATTATGTTCAAAATAAGCACCATTTTATACCTCATTATGCTATATTTTTTTAAATCAATCTTAAAAGATACTATTTTCTCTTTTAATTTATTACGTTTTTATCAAGTTTGCATTTACTACTCCATTACAGTAGCATAAACTAAACGAGATGTTTAATGATAGATAAAGAGAAGATTTAAAGCGACAACATATCGAAAACAACTTCTCTGCCTTTATAGGGTAGGGATGAGGCTGTGTACACACTACCCTCCTCAGATCTCACGTATGAGATTAATAGCATGTTTGGTTAATATTCTAAAATTAGCTTATTTTGAGAAGTGTTTTTTTCAAAAATACTTTTCAAAAAAGTACTTTTGGTGAGAATCGGTATGCGTTTGGCTAATTAATTTGAAATGCACTTTTGAGCAGTAATTAGTGTTTGGCCAAACTTTTGAAAATTATTTATAAGTGTATTTTTCTCAAAAGTGCTTCTTAGAAAAGTGCTTTTTGGAGAGAATCTACATTTTTCTCAAAATCTGCTTTTGCTTCTCATCAAAAATATTTTTTTCCTTCTAAAAGTTTGGCCCAAACACCGCAATTTTTGGGCAAAAAAAGCACTTTTGGCCGAATAAAAGCTTTGGTCAAACGGGGGGTTTGTTTTTGTAAAGAGAAGATTGGACAAAAGCTCTTATAAACAAGACAACTGCACTTTGAAACAATGCACCAAAACCTTAAATGACAGATAATATAGACCGAAAAAAGTACATATAAATGGAATCAAAATGTAACTTAGGAAGAATTAGAAAGTGATACCTCAATGACCATGTCATTCAAAGTGATTCCAAGCAATTCCCAGAAATCACAACCATCATTTTCATCACTTTTACAGATGAAAGTAAGAACTAAACTCCCACAACTTACCATCTCTTCAGTGCGCATACTAAGAAAATTAGTAAAATCCTTTTGAAATTGAGTCAAGTAAGCTTCATGAACACTAGGAGGACTGGTTTTTGCTATGTAAATGTTGCCTTTGTTCAGTGGAAAACCAGATTCAGTCACCAACCCTTTTGGAACCTAAAAACATTAGTTAGAAGTTTAACTTTTATATAATCAAAATTTATACTATTGGCTTACCTAAATGATGATAATGATATGTAATCGTCCATAAAAAAGTAAAATTGGTAATTATATGAAATATAAGACAGGTACTTAAAATATATTGATTAAATTACAATATAGTATAAAAGATCTCTATGATTAAATTGCAGTGATAGTGTAAGAAATATCTATAATTCACTTATAACTTTTTGCCCAAGCTTCTAAAATTAGCTTATTTTGAGAAGTATTTTTTCTCAAAAATACTTTTTTCAGAAGTATTTTTGGTGAGAAGCAATTTGTGTTTGGCTAATTAATTTGAAAAACACGTTTGTACAACAATTAGTGTTTGACCAAGCTCTTAAAAAATGCTTCAAAATATATTTTTCTCAAAATGTTGTTCAAAAAAACACTTTTAGGAAGAAGCTATCAAAAACTGCTCCGCCTTCTAATCAAAACCTTTTTTTTTCTCTAAAAATCTTGGCTAACACCTTAACTTTGGGAAAAAAGACTTTTGACAACCCAAAAAAACTTGACCAAATAGGTTATAAACACCGAAAGATAAGACAACTAAATTTTTATGATTAAATTGCACCGATGGCATAAAAAATCTTTACTCTATCAGTGCATAATATATCCTTTAACCAATTATTCAAGAAAAGGGAAATGACCAACCTGAGATAGCCAATGTAGACTATAAGAAGAATGCACCAAATGAACAGAATGTTGAGGGAAAAGCCTGCTATAAAATGAACCAGGCATAGCTCCAATGAAACATGAAGCTAATCCCCTCTTTCTTTGGATCTGTTTATAAAAACTAGGCAGGAGTTTGAAAACAGTGTTGAAATCATTGCCAACAAGATCATTCAAAAAAACTTGAATATTAAGAGGCTTTTGAATATTCAATTCTTGGCTTAATTTGTCAACAATCTCTGCCATTTCAGCTATTGGTAATATTGCATTTGGCCCTGAAGAACATCCCAACTCAGCTAAAGTTATACATTCTGGAAACCCTAAATGACAAATTCTTTGTATGACTTTTTCAAGAATGGCTCTCACCTTGAGAATAACCAGCTTCTGAAAATCAAGAATCCAAGAAAATCAATATTAGTACTGGCAATGTAGACATATGAAAAAAAATTTATAATATATACATATAATAAGATCATATTAATTATGATTCCCGTGATTATTTTAGGCGGGGGGAAAGTATTTTATTACACAAAGTAAAATGCTAGAGAGAGAAAGAGGGAGATAGAGACTAACTTGAAGTAAGGAGTTGTTTGAATAGCTAGTTTGATCTTCCCCTCTATTCATATGAAGAACTTGCTCAACTTCCATTTCTCCTAGCCCTGCCAAATGATCTAATTTTGTTGGAATTTAGGAACTAGAAGTTAATTAGAATAGTAAGGGCATAAGAGACTATCACACACTCTCTCTCTCTCTATATATATATATATAACTTTGAATGTGTAATCAATTAAGTAATCATGGTCACGTGTAAGTTGATATCACGGATAAATAAGATTCTTTTACATTTATCAAGAAATCTCGTGTTTAAACTTTAAATCATGCTAATTAAAGAAATCTTCAGTGAGGAGAACAGATGCTTTCCCCTTTAATGGACTCTACGCGGCCTGAACTTAGATTAGAAGTTTAATTCCTGTGGATTCTAATACCACATGATTATAAAAAATATATTAAAAAAAAGAGAAGTAAGCTGACTATGGACGGTGGGAATTTAAGATTTGAATATTACTAATATATATGTTAAATGTTATTAGTACTTTAAGGTCATTATAGTATTACTAGTTTGAAGGGTAAACCAAAAAATTCTCCTCAAACTATGCCTCGTTCACGATTACCAACATTAGAATTTGCCAAGTTGGTAGAATACTTATTTGATGAAATTAAAATTATTTCAGAAAATTAAAGAAAAGAAAGTTCATAATTTGCTACTACTATATATTACTCCATACAAACTCCGAACCCAAGGTCAATGTCAATAATACCAGAATGGATCGACGATTATAAATTTGTAACAGAAGTATAAGAAACTTACAATTGACTGGTTGATTTTTTGTTATAATCATGAAAGTTTAGCAATTATTAAGATTTTTTTTAAAAAAATATAGAAAGGAAAAACACCTCAGAGATAATTTTTACATTAATTTTGATTTCGTTACAAATTTATAGCACCACTTTTGTCAGCTTAGTGTGAACAAAATACTCAATTAAAGAACTGTAACATCATCTGCACTTCCCTCGTGAATCAAGATTTCATGAAATAATACCAACTCAAGAATATTTTATTATTCCGGCTGACAAGTTGCTATTATTTATATTAATGAAAGACTATATGTTTAATGATGGAAAAAAACAAGTAAAAAAACGTTTGCATATTAATATGTCCCAAATATCATGGTTTAATTCATCGTATATGTAATTTATATTCAATTATAATTTAGCAAATATTGGCTCCTTTACAAAAAATTTAAAAAAAGAAAAGAGAGAGACAAAGGAAGCCAGCTAGTATACAATTTACTTTTCAGATTGTGTTTAGCGTGTTCTCATAATTTATACATAATTTAGAGATTTAGGGGATCTGCCCTTTATCCATCGCTTTAGAATTTTCACGAGGAAGTCTAGTTTATAAATGTCCTTCTCCCATTTGATTTTTTTCCAGTTTTTAATTATATCACTACCATCAGTAGGGGTGTACATAAGTCGGGTTGACTCGAAATTTTTCAATTATCAAACCAAATCAATGGTGTCGAATTTTTAAATTTATAAACCAAACCAAACCAAACCAACAAAGTCGGGTTTTTCAATCTCGATTTTTTTCGAGTTTTTCGGGTTTTTTCAGGTTTTCGGGTTTTTTTTGGTAAAATCTTCATAGCATAAAATATGTAACTTGTGCTCCAAATATTTCTTAAGTCCTAGTAAAATACAACTATATAATGTATTTTCCAAGAAACTAACACAATAATATGAGATAAGTCATAGCATTATACTAAAATATTCAATAACAAAAATAAAATAATAAAATTACATAAAATAAATATTGCTAATTAATAAGCCATAATAAAAATTAACATAATCTAAGAATACTATATAGGTCATGCTAAAATAAGTATAGCTAATAAGTACTAATATTAAATACATAACTAAGCACTAAAGAAAAAGATAAGCTAAGTTATGCATTTTCGTTATAAACCAATATAAAACTAAAATAATTATTTAATACTATCGTCATTCCTAGTATTGAATTGAATTTGTTTTTGTTAGCATTGGTATTGATTTGAACTTTGTTTGAGTTACTACATTTATGGGCTTTAAAATTTATTTACCATTCAAGAATATTAAGTTTAAACTTGAAATAATACGTTAAAAGATAGAACTGTGAAAAAGTTTAAGAAATATGTATAAATTATATTACAATAAATATTTGTATGTATAAAATATTTTTAAAAATTATATAAATATACTATCGGGTTGGTTTGGTTTCGGTTTGACTTTTTTTTAGTTAAAGCCAAACCAAACTAATTATGTTCGGGTTTTATTTTCCAATACCAAATCAAATTAAACCAAACTACATCCGATTTTATTTTTTCGGGTTGACTCGGATTATCGGTTTGGTGCGATTTATCGATTTTCTTTATACACCCCTGTCACGACCCCAAATTTCCTCCGTAGGAGGTCGTGACGGCACCTAATCTCTAAGACTGGGTAAACCTATCAATGCGGAATAATAATAGATATCTGAAATAAATAAACTACAAATCAAATAATTATAATTCTCAAAACCTGGTAGAAATAAGTCATAAGCTTCTAAGAATTTATCCTCAATGTCTCTATATATATCAAGGTCTAAAGAAAATAAGGAAGCAACATGATAATAATAGAAGGGGACTCCGGAGTCTGCGGATGCTAGCAGATATACCTCGAAATCTCCGTACACCGGTAACTCACTGGTGTTTGGGCTGATAAGATGTACCTGGATCTGCACAAAACGATGTGCGGAAGCGTAGTATGAGTACACCACAGCGGTACCCAATAAGTGCCAAGCCTAACCTCGGTAGAGTAATGACAAGGTCAGGTCAGGCCCTATTGGAAAAATAAATAATGGCGTGGTAAAATATTTAACAATATAATAAGATAAAATAATAATGAAAATGAGTCAAGTAGTATGTCACCATTTAATTACACCAAATAATGGCAATTAATACCTCGCGGAAACAAAACAGAATTCTTTTCAACTTTAAGAAAAATCACAACAATAAGCAAAGGTAACTGCGACCATAAATCAATATCAACAAGGGCACTCCCGAGGTATCGCCTCGTAGTCCCAAATCATAAATAAATTCACAATATCTCATTTTCTTATATCACCGCGGGAGCCTTCACAATTTATTTAAAGAAAATATTTTTTCCGAAATAGCTTTCCGCGTTTTTAGCCATCTTTATCACACCGCATGACTTCTAGTAGTTTTTCCTACTAGCCACGTGTATCAAGCCACCCTTATCTCACCGCATGCGTTTCAATACCCAGACCTTATACCACCGCATGCGTATCAATATCACAATATATCATAATTTACACCTCAAGTGCCCAATATTTCAATTTGCCAAAATAAATCAATAACAATATTTTTTCATAATAAAGAGCTCACGGCTCATGCCAAAATAATCCAACAATAATATTTTTTCCATAATAAAGAGCTCAAGGCTCATGCCAAAATAATCCAACAATAATATTTTTCCACAATAAAGAGCTCACGGCTCCATCACAATGAGCACGAAAATCTCACAAAATATTCAGGAATAAATAACTCAACAAAATAATATTTCAAAATTTTAATACGTTGCTTCAATATCAAATTTAAAATGTCAAATAATTCATATTAATAATATTTAATTTTTAAAAAATCACCCTTCAAATAATGCACAGAATAAAAGAAACCAAGTTTCAACTAAACAGGTAAAATAATTAGTAAGAAAAGGTCAAACAAATTTAAAGTATAAACATTTAAATCAATGATGAAGAATATAACAAGGTAAAATTATTTAACTAATATGCAACAACGATCTACACAATTTAAAGACATAATCTTTCACATTTAGCCCGTTTACACACTCGTCACCTCGTGTACACGACTTTCAACATATTTTAATTTATCACTTCAATACCAATCCTAGGAAAAATTTCCCCCACACAAGGTTAGACAAGTCACTTACCTCGACTTGCTCCAATTTAACCAAGTAGTATGCCTTTTCCTCGATTTTCCAACTCCGAATGACTCGAATCTAGTCATAATTAATTCGACATAGCCAATAAAAATTATAGAATAAATTCCATAAGAAAATACTATATTTTTCAATAAAAATCCGAAATTAACTCAAAAATTGCCACGTCTCGGAATCCGGCGAAAGTTACGAAATATGAACGCCCATTCAACCATGAGTCTAACTATACCAAAATGACTAAATTCCGATAACAATTCGACCCTCAAATCCTCAAATCTATCCAAGAGGGTTTTAAAAAATTTTCAACTTAAATCACCAATTAATTGTTATAAACAGTGATGGATTCGGGTAATCTAACCAAGATTGAGTTAAGAACACTTAACCCGATATTTTCTCCGAAAATCTCCCAAAAATCGCCTCAATTCGAGCTCCAAATCGTTAAAACCTAGGCCTTTTCTTCTACGCGATCGCGGACCAACTCACGCGATCGCGAAGCATAAGTTTTTATTGCCCAAAAATAACTCTATGCGATCGCGAGCCTTCTCACACGATCGCGAAGCACAGTCTCTGCAAGCCTACGCGATCGCGAGCCTTCTCACGCGATCGCGAAGTATTAATCGCGTGGCCCAGCTTCTGCCTCGTTTCCTCTTCGAGAACGCGGTCTTAGCCACGCGTTCTCATAGCACAGCTTGCCAAACCTACGCGATCGCGGACTCGCCCACATGATCGCATAGCACAAAATTTCAGCTGCCCAATTAACCCTACGTGATCGCATACCTTCTCACGCGATCGCGTAGAAGGAAACCAGAACCTGCAGAAACCAAAACTTCAGCTATCAAGCCAAGTCCAAAAATGATCCGTTAAGCATCCGAAACTCACCCGAGCCCCTTGGGACCTCAACCAAATATACCAACAAGTCTTAATACATTATACGAACTTAGTCGAGTCCTCAAATCACATCTAACAACACCAAAAACATGAATCACACATAGATTCAAGTCTAATGAATTTTGAAACTTTCAATTTCTACAAACGACGCAGGAACATATCAAATCAAGTCCGATTGATCTCAAATTTTGCATGAAAGTCATAAATGACATAACGAAGCTATAAAAATTTTTGAAACTGGATTCCGACCTCGATATCAAAAAAGTCAACTCCCCGGTCAAACTTAAATTCCTATTTTAGCCATTTCAAGCCTAATTTAACTACAGACTTCCAAATAAAATTCCGAACACGTTCCTAAGTCCAAAATTACCATACGGAGCTGTTGGAATAATCAAAATTCTATT